AAGTAAGTAAGTAAGTAAGTAAGTAAGTAAGTAAGTAAGTAAGTAAGTAAGTAAGTAAGTAAGTAAGTAAGTAAGTAAGTAAGTAAGTAAGTAAGTAAGTAAGTAAGTAAGTAAGTAAGTAAGTAAGTAAGTAAGTAAGTAAGTAAGTAAGTAAGTAAGTAAGTAAGTAAGTAAGTAAGTAAGTAAGTAAGTAAGTAAGTAAGTAAGTAAGTAAGTAAGTAAGTAAGTAAGTAAGTAAGTAAGTAAGTAAGTAAGTAAGTAAGTAAGTAAGTAAGTAAGTAAGTAAGTAAGTAAGTAAGTAAGTAAGTAAGTAAGTAAGTAAGTAAGTAAGTAAGTAAGTAAGTAAGTAAGTAAGTAAGTAAGTAAGTAAGTAAGTAAGTAAGTAAGTAAGTAAGTAAGTAAGTAAGTAAGTAAGTAAGTAAGTAAGTAAGTAAGTAAGTAAGTAAGTAAGTAAGTAAGTAAGTAAGTAAGTAAGTAAGTAAGTAAGTAAGTAAGTAAGTAAGTAAGTAAGTAAGTAAGTAAGTAAGTAAGTAAGTAAGTAAGTAAGTAAGTAAGTAAGTAAGTAAGTAAGTAAGTAAGTAAGTAAGTAAGTAAGTAAGTAAGTAAGTAAGTAAGTAAGTAAGTAAGTAAGTAAGTAAGTAAGTAAGTAAGTAAGTAAGTAAGTAAGTAAGTAAGTAAGTAAGTAAGTAAGTAAGTAAGTAAGTAAGTAAGTAAGTAAGTAAGTAAGTAAGTAAGTAAGTAAGTAAGTAAGTAAGTAAGTAAGTAAGTAAGTAAGTAAGTAAGTAAGTAAGTAAGTAAGTAAGTAAGTAAGTAAGTAAGTAAGTAAGTAAGTAAGTAAGTAAGTAAGTAAGTAAGTAAGTAAGTAAGTAAGTAAGTAAGTAAGTAAGTAAGTAAGTAAGTAAGTAAGTAAGTAAGTAAGTAAGTAAGTAAGTAAGTAAGTAAGTAAGTAAGTAAGTAAGTAAGTAAGTAAGTAAGTAAGTAAGTAAGTAAGTAAGTAAGTAAGTAAGTAAGTAAGTAAGTAAGTAAGTAAGTAAGTAAGTAAGTAAGTAAGTAAGTAAGTAAGTAAGTAAGTAAGTAAGTAAGTAAGTAAGTAAGTAAGTAAGTAAGTAAGTAAGTAAGTAAGTAAGTAAGTAAGTAAGTAAGTAAGTAAGTAAGTAAGTAAGTAAGTAAGTAAGTAAGTAAGTAAGTAAGTAAGTAAGTAAGTAAGTAAGTAAGTAAGTAAGTAAGTAAGTAAGTAAGTAAGTAAGTAAGTAAGTAAGTAAGTAAGTAAGTAAGTAAGTAAGTAAGTAAGTAAGTAAGTAAGTAAGTAAGTAAGTAAGTAAGTAAGTAAGTAAGTAAGTAAGTAAGTAAGTAAGTAAGTAAGTAAGTAAGTAAGTAAGTAAGTAAGTAAGTAAGTAAGTAAGTAAGTAAGTAAGTAAGTAAGTAAGTAAGTAAGTAAGTAAGTAAGTAAGTAAGTAAGTAAGTAAGTAAGTAAGTAAGTAAGTAAGTAAGTAAGTAAGTAAGTAAGTAAGTAAGTAAGTAAGTAAGTAAGTAAGTAAGTAAGTAAGTAAGTAAGTAAGTAAGTAAGTAAGTAAGTAAGTAAGTAAGTAAGTAAGTAAGTAAGTAAGTAAGTAAGTAAGTAAGTAAGTAAGTAAGTAAGTAAGTAAGTAAGTAAGTAAGTAAGTAAGTAAGTAAGTAAGTAAGTAAGTAAGTAAGTAAGTAAGTAAGTAAGTAAGTAAGTAAGTAAGTAAGTAAGTAAGTAAGTAAGTAAGTAAGTAAGTAAGTAAGTAAGTAAGTAAGTAAGTAAGTAAGTAAGTAAGTAAGTAAGTAAGTAAGTAAGTAAGTAAGTAAGTAAGTAAGTAAGTAAGTAAGTAAGTAAGTAAGTAAGTAAGTAAGTAAGTAAGTAAGTAAGTAAGTAAGTAAGTAAGTAAGTAAGTAAGTAAGTAAGTAAGTAAGTAAGTAAGTAAGTAAGTAAGTAAGTAAGTAAGTAAGTAAGTAAGTAAGTAAGTAAGTAAGTAAGTAAGTAAGTAAGTAAGTAAGTAAGTAAGTAAGTAAGTAAGTAAGTAAGTAAGTAAGTAAGTAAGTAAGTAAGTAAGTAAGTAAGTAAGTAAGTAAGTAAGTAAGTAAGTAAGTAAGTAAGTAAGTAAGTAAGTAAGTAAGTAAGTAAGTAAGTAAGTAAGTAAGTAAGTAAGTNAAAAAATTTGGGGGATGGCACCCCCACTTAGGGGGTTGAAGATTTTGCTATGCTTTTTGCGCCACAAGTTGTCCCCCTCAGAAGCAAAGTTTACCTGTTTTTGGATTTTGCCGAAAAGTTCATTACTACCCTGTAATGCCTTGCGGTACGTTTTCAATAGGCTACCCTCTATACTACTAATATTTTTTACATCAACTTGCAATTTATTAAACAATTTGGGTCCATAAAAAAAATACAAAATGTTGGGTATGAGATTTACCATAAAATTGTACTTGAACAGACTGTTCAGTACGCAATCTAGTGCAATAATTGTGACTGATAGGAGCAATATGAGACTTATGAGCCTATAATATGGAATGATATGCAAACAATTTTCTTATATTGAATATATTTAATTCCTTATACAGTAGTTCTGTAGAATATCTAAAATCTTTTTTGAAAATAATTTTTAGTAACGTATTTTGAACGACTTGCAAATTTAGTAACTTGTCATACAGACCACCCCATATCAAAATACAATACCCCAGTAATGACTGGGCCAGAGCATCATAAACTACATGTAATAATTTAGTATTAAGAACATCTCTAATTTGGTAGAATGCATGTATTAAACTTCTAAGTCTTTTTGTAAGATATTGCACATGAAAATCCCAACGTAGATGCTGAACAACTACCACTCCTAAATATTTAATTTTATTTACTTTTTCTAAACATTCACATTAACAACTGTTTACATCATTGCAATTATTTTTATGGATTTTTTATAAGAGAAAATTCCGGCTGATCCGCCTCAGTAATAGTAAAAGTTAAAAATTTTAATTTCTTTACGTTAAGACTAAGAAGGTTCTCGTTCAACCAATACCGGAGATATTTCATAGAATGCTCCGCCCTGTGCAACACTGAGGGCCAGGAGTCATCAACAAAAATTATGGCTGTATCATCAGCGTAAGAAATGATATGGCAGTGAAATGTCTGTATTAAAACTGGTGGTTAGTGATATATCAGCTTAAGAAAAAATCAAACGCAACTGTATATTGGTTTAATTAATTTTATGATACAATAATATCATTAGAATCTTTATCTTTCTATAGACATTTCACAATCAAGTCAGTCCAATTCTAAAGAAAAAATCAATATAATTAATGAAATTAAATCCTAGGTATCTAGAGAGTAATATCAATTTGTCGTGGAATATGATTGGCCGTAGGGTTTCTACCTTCTACCCCTTGCTGGGCTACGCTTTGTCGTGTAACTCTGTTGGGCACCGGAAGAGGCCTCTCATGATTATCGTTTAGAATAGCGGATGGAAGGAATTAATCCGGCTCCATTTTTGCCTGTGGTGCTGGGAATCATCCGCGCACCGATAAGGGGATTTCCAGATAGCTCGGGCGTCTCTTCCTTGATGCTAACCACAAGGGACGTTGAGAGTGGCTGACACCTTTGACTATATACACTCGTCAAAGCTGACACGGAGACTGTCGTTCTTCCTCCATTGAGACCTATAGTTTATAACACTGAATTTATTGTAAGCACTGCGAGTCTGTGAATCTTGTGTCTTTATCACTGTCTTTATATGGTGGCTAAGTTCCATAGAGCACCTATAAGCTTAAGGAAGAGCTGGGTACCCTTTGAGGATCTTCACCGTAGAACGCACTTAGGTGGGTAACTTTAGGATCTATAGGAGCTTTGAGCTCATAACTCAACAAATATTTTATTAAATATTTGACTTATTGGCCAATTCGGACATTAATGCAATAAATGAATGCAGACATATAACACTGGCATAATATACTGCAAGAAAGTTGGAGCGAGCACATACTCTGGCCTGGTTCCGAACGCTGGTTACTGAACTGGCGATGGATCGGGTTGACGTCCGTACCAAGCTGGCAGCTCCGCAGGTGGCTCTGCTACTTTGGTCCGGTTTAGTGCAATACCATTCCCACCTCTCGGATTCGCCTCCCTTTCCATTTCTGGGTCTCTGGAACTAGCTAGGTATCCCTTTGTATTAGCTTTTAGTGATTACTAATGTTGATCTGCTTCTCTTTAATTCAGAGAACTTTGGGTCTCCGAAATCCGAACCTGGAACAGCTCTTCCTCCTTTAAATCGGGCTGCGCTAACAGCATTGGTCTCTGGCAATGTCAACTGCTACAAACTACAAAGCGACGGAGTGATTTTGGGCTGCTCGGAGCAGTTTTTGGCAGCGACGGTGGAAGCTTTGGAAAGCATGGTGAAAATTCCAATTTCCGCGCCGTGATCTCTGTATCGCCGCACTGGGGCTCTAGGTCCTTTCGGAACATCGTCCTCGGCTCGTAGCTACGATCGGCTTTGCATGGACTTTTTGTGGCTTCGCGGTCTCGATTGGAAACATATGAGTGAATATTTGAAATCCAAATGGTAAAAAGTTATATTGTTCCTAATTTACATATTTAATTTAATAGCAGTACGAGAATTGAAAAGTATTAAAAATTTTTTTTTTACTGTTTCTATCTGGAAAAATTTTGATTTCGAGAATAAGTAGGTACCTACCTTATATTATTCAGGATGCTGGATGCTGAAATTTTATATTCAAACATTATTCATTTACCATAGAGTAAAAAGATTTTCATAAACACGGAGTACATATTTTTTAACATATAATAATTAAAGATTAAAGGAAAGTAGGAAGATAAATAACTACTTACTATATCGTTTAATTTGAATACTTTATTTTTATAATATGTAGGTATGTTATTTACATTTCACATTTTAAAGCACTGTGACTATAAAATTAGATGAGAGACATACACCGCCATCTGGTGTTGTGTATAGAACCCCGATTGTAAAACAATGAGACCCAACCTCAAATTTATTATAAAGACTGCTTGTGGTATTTTATTTTTATTTTTTTACTGTGAATATTTAGTTTTTTTCATTATTCAGAGAAATGTAAGTATCATCTTATTTATAACTAAATTAAAATATGTTCTATTTTCGTTTATTTATATATAGACTAATTTCATTTCTATAAATTATACAGTGTGAATGGCCAGAACTGAATCCAGAAAATGAAGACCCCACAATTGCTCAGACAAATGAAGAACCCGTTAAAGTTATGGTTATCGCTGATACACACTTGCTCGGATCGAGACACGGACATTGGTTTGATAAATTACGAAGAGAGTGGCAAATGCATCGAGCCTTTCAAACAGCTATTATATTACACAAACCTGATTTAGTTTTTGTTCTTGGAGATTTAACTGATGAGGGATTATTTTGCAGCAATGCAGAATTTGAATATTATGTGAAACGGTTTTACAGTTTATTTCATGTTCCAGATGACACAAAACTGTATGTAGCTGTTGGAAATCATGATATTGGGTTTCACTATGGGTAAGTTGTAACTAGTTTATTTAGAAGGGAATTTAGGAAGAAAACGGTAATTAAAAGTAAACTTTTATAGGTTATAATTAGATATATTGCAACATAGGTATCGATTTAAGTTCTGGTTTTTTGTTTTTAGTGTAAGTCCATATTTGAATCAAAGGTTTGTAGTTGCTTTCAATGCACCTGCGGTTCAACTTATAACCTTAAGAGGAAATCATTTTGTCTTGGTAAATAGCATGGCTTTAGAAGGGGATGGGTGTTTTTTGTGCAGACCTGCCGAACAGCAGTTAACAAAAATAGAAAGTAAGTTTTGTATTTAATTTTTTGTTTTTGTTTTGTTATGTTTTAATTATAGACATCCCATTATTGGGCACAGTCAATTGAACATGTATTTTAAGTAAATAATATAATTTGCATTCCCCAATAACAAAATTTCTACTGTAATTCTTTCAATAGTCACGTTTGATTAGAACGAGAAGCAGTAAACAAAAATAATTATACTATTTTGTTTGATTTCAGAAATTCTACAGTGTACTAAAGGCACATACGCCGACAAATGTAGTCCAAAGATGAAGCTAGGCATATATAGCAAACCAGTATTAATGCAAGTAAGTTATATTTCCCATACAATTTGTAATTAGGTAATTTCTAATATTACCACTGAATTAATATTGTAGCACTACCCTCTATATCGACAATCAGACATGGAATGCAACGATTTCGATGCTGCCCCTTTCCCGGTTAAACAAGAACGATTTAGGGAACGATGGGAGTGTTTAAGTCAGGAAGCCACTTTACAGCTTCTTAATCAAATCAAGCCAAGGGTAGCTTTGTCTGGTCACACACATCATGGCTGCACAAGACCCCTATCAGTCGGGGAAGGGATAGAAGTAACCATTCCTAGTTTTAGTTGGAGGAATAAAGATAATCCTAATTATTTGTTGGTAAGTAAATGCAGAAATATAATTTATCATGGCTGAGTTCAAGTTGTTCTATATCAATTTTTTTTTATTTGTTAGAAACAAGAACAGGGAATATATTTGAAGGTTTACAACATTATTTAATGATTTCAGTATTAAACATACTTCTTTCATTTGTTCAATTCCTACAGAGCCTTCATAAATGATTACAAGCCATGTGACCAATAATTTTGTTTGGAACAGTAATTTTATTTCCTCCACGTTGGCCATTAAATTTTGGTAAAATAAAAATTATTATCAAGGTTACATTAAAACATGATGTTCTATTTCATTGGCTGTGATTAGTGTAATTTTTCACGAGATACTATTCGACCAATCAGTGATTGCGTTATCTCGAGCATATACGTAACGGTTTGTCATTAGTTACTGTAAACAAGTCATTAATATTGGTGATGCTAAGATCTATGGAATTTTCGTTACCAGTACCAATCGTGCAATGTTGGGTTGCCTAAGCTGGGCGGTCAGTGGCTTATAAACATACATGAAGTCTCTGTATATATCAAGAGCATGCTGCATGTTATAAAATCAATAAAAAAGTTCCTAAAACATGTTACCAGAAATTCTTCCTATTCAAGATACAGGGTGTTGAAATTTGGAAAAAAAATATGTTTATTTAACTATCTCTAAAAACTCTAAAATTGACAGACTTTCGTCTAATGACAACTAATTTTGGACAAAATACAAATCTTCAACCAGTAGCGGAGATACTGAGAAACGCCATCAAATTAATAAATAATATTTTGGAAATAGGATAAGTACACAAAATCCAATTTATCTACTTAATCCTAGTCTTCATGAACTCCTGAATACATGCTTTTTTAAATACTAGCTAAACCTCCAGTTGTTACTTTTTTCTCTTATTATGTCAAGAAGTATAACAAAAAAATCACTATTGCACTTTATTAACATCTTGTCATTTTATTATGACTTTTTATTATATCCTGATCCTATCTAGACAAAGAAAAAAGTAGCAACTGGAGATCATAAACAACTATTTAAAGAAACACATCTGCTGCATTTGAAAAATAATTTTTCTTAGTTATTATTTTTTTTTAATTGCAAATAGATCTATGACATAATGAAATAAATAAAAAATAATTCCAATACTATAATCCATGTCGGTAAAAAATAGGAAGTTTTTGTTAGAAATACAATTTTAAATACAATGTAATTATGAAAAGACCAAAAAAATCATAAGTACAGGAAATTTTCACTTTCTGAAGGATAATAATCGTAACAAAAATTAAATGTGCTATGCCAATGATTATTATTATTGACCTCGTCTGGTGTAGAATTAAAATTTTTTAGTAAGAGCTGTTTTTTTATGTAAATAGGGGTATTATCTAAATATACCTACATATTTAATGAAATAATAGCGTAATAGTAAATCTATAAAAATATTAAAAATAAACTTCAATAACTGTGTTTAAAATATTTCAGTTACTTGTTCAGATTTTCTAATAAACATGTTTATGTGCAGAAATCTTTAAATAGGAGTTACGTGCTTGTAATAGTAAATATGCGGGACAGGATATTGCAATATTCCGCCAACATATTTCTACAGGTGATTCTCAGCCTAAATTTAAGCGAAACATAAGTTCACATATTTTTGAACAGATATATCTATTATATGAATTACCATTTGAAATAATCTACAAGGTGATATTTTTTTTAAACCATAATGTTCTAGTCTACTTTATGCTGTAACTTTCTGACCTATCCATTTTTTCTTATATCATTATCTGTTTCACTAACATTTTACAAAATGTGACCTATACTATGGATGTAGGTATTTTTATACAGTCAGTCGATTGGCTACTTTTAAATAAAACTGTAATAACCTGGTTTCAAAGAGTGACCGCAAAAAACCTGTGATTTTCGCCCGTTTTTTCACAATACGCAAAGAATTAAAAAAAATACATAAAAATATGTTTTTGGTCTCAAATTACTTGTCATAAAAAACTGAAATGGGCATAGCTTTTAGTATTTTGAAAATTTTAAAAATCACCCTCACTTAGGGGTTGAAAAAATCCCAAAAATTAAGAATTTGAATATTACCAATTGATATAAAAACTATTAGCATGTGAATTATCTTAATATATATTTTTTAATTTTTACAATTATTTCTGATATTCTCTATTTTTGAGGATTCCACCCCCTGAGCGTGCTTAAGGGTGGATTTTCTAATTCAGCGTGCTTATTTCAGTCATGAGAATAAATCTTTCTTTGTATCAAGAATCATTCGATAGAAAAATTCACGTGCTAATAGTTTTTATATTTATTGGTAATATTCAATTCTCCATTTTGGGCGTTTTTTCAACGCCTAAATAGGGGTGATTTTTGAAAATTTTCCAAAAAACTAAAAGCTATGCTCATCTTAATTTTTTACTATGAGTAATTTGAGACCAAAGACATTTTTATCTATTTTGAAATTATTTTAATTACATCCTATTTATTTTCAGTTTTATTATTAATTGTTGTGTGCTTGTTAATTATATGTACATATTTTTTTATTTTTCTATTGCTGTGTCTTTACTTTTAGGCCGTATTTACACCAAACAACTATGCATATTCCAAGTGTGAAATGCCACAGGAGTCAACAGTAATAAATTTGTATATTTTTGGAATTATTTTTCTTAGTGTATGGATACTGTATAGTATATTTTGTAGGAGTAGGCGTAAGTACAAGTATCGATGACATTATTTCTATAACTGGTGATATTCATTGATATTCAACTTTAATAAATTTTGTTTTACTTACGATTATGGTATTTAATATAACATACAAAATGTCTGGAAACTGTGAGCAAAAAATTTTAGAGACAATGTACTGATGACTATAGTGGTATAGTCCTTTGACACTTTTTAAGACACCTACCCAACCAATATTATACCCCAAATTTGTTTTTTTTTTAATTAAAATTGTAACTTGATTACAATCAAGCAATTTCTTTCAAATTGGTTACAAACAAGACCTACAAGAAAATCATCTTTATTGAACGTATAATCTCTGTTAACTATAAAATTGATCTTTAAGTTTGCTACAAAACATTAAATGTTTTTTTTTTTTTTTCAAGAATTATTATTATCATTATCATCCTGGAACATATTTCCAGTTTTTTTTATTGGATTTTATATTAATCAGTGTAATTTTTTGAAAGATTATAAAAATAAGTCCTAAATAAGTGTTTATTAAATACTTTAAAGGGTGAATCTTTGACTAATTTTAAGATAAAAAGTTCGTATGGACATGGGCTTGGTTCTTGAGATACAAAGCATCCAAAAAAAAAATAATGTTTCAGCAATTATTGTAAATGTTATTAATTTATTTATAGAAGTAGTTTAGTCTTAGTCTTGTAAATGATCTAAGTTTGTCACATCACAATACAATCAATAAAAGACACATGTTTTCACTTTTTTTTCAAAAATTCTTAATGATTCAACTTACAAAATACCAACGCAGGTTTAACTTTAAACCCATTTTTTTTACAAGACGTCTGCTGTCAGGGATAAATACTAAGAGTACCTTTTATACGTAAAATTGAATGGAAAATAAGTATGTTTAGTTAAAAATGACATACAGTGCGACCACAAAAAACTAAGTAAATATTTGAGCTTCTCATCACAGTTTCCCGAATTTCGTTAAATTGCCATGTTATTGAACAAAAATATAATCAAAATACCAAACAAACATTTTTTTACGCTCTGTATCTCTAGAACCAAGCCGTTGCAGACCCATGTTTATATAAACTTTTTTATCTTAAAATTAGTCAAAGAATCACCCTTTAAAGTTTATACCAGTACTTAATAAACACCCTGTATAATTGTGTTAATATTGAATCTTTGCAAAAATGTCACAGTAATTTGGACTTTTATTTTTATAAGTAGAATTACCCCCTAAATTTTTTGTTCCTAGTTTCCAGATGTTTCCAATATACAGGGTGTTTCATAAATGGTGACCTCGTATTCCTTGTTGAATTTTAAGGGGAGTCTTTCCCATAAAGTTTTTATCTAGGACGCTTCCTTAAAAAGATACAGGGTGTTAAACTTAAAAAAAAATTTTTTTAAATAATTTATAAACTAGCAAGTGAAATAATTTGAAATTGGGCACATATATTTATGTAAACATTGTCCGAAATCTGAAGGCTTTTCCTAAAATTTACATGCTCCAGTGGCGAAGATACAGGGTATCGATGGCATATTTTTCTAAATGAAATAGTACGCCACTGCTTTACGGCCATGATACTTTCGCATTCCCAATTTTCTATAAATTACTACTCCCTTATATTTTTCGAAAAGAAGCCTGAATTTCAAGTAAAACTTAAAAATCCTACTGAAAACACTCATTTAAATGACATGACAAGCACTAATCATTGGGTTATTTATTCGAATAAAGAAATTAATAAAGTTAATAAATTTTAATGATTTTATTTGAGTAAATGCTCACAAATACCTTCATTTCCACGAACACAGGGCTGACATCTTTTTAATAATGAAAATGTAATTTGTTCGAAATTTATTGTTGCTTAAATCTGAAGAAATATTATTTATTCATTCTTCTAACTGTTCAGAATGTCAAAGTTGCTATCGCAGCCCACTATGTAATTTTAAAAAGCATTATTATTTAATATCGAAATGTGTTCTCAGTTCCTTTTTTAAGTATTACTCGAAAATCAGGCTTTTTTCGAAAAACATAAGAGTAGTATTTTGTAGAAAATTGAAAGAAAAATCCGAAAATATCGTGGTTGTTATCGTAAAGCAGTGGCATACTATTTTATTTAGAAAAATATGCCACTGATACCGTGGATCTCCGCCACTGGAGTATGTAAATTTTAGAAAAAAGAAATTTTGGACAATGTTTACATAAATACATATGCCCAATTTCAAATTACTACACTTACTAGTTTTTAAATTATTTTTAAAAAAATAAAAATATTTTTTGACGTTTCAACACCCTGTATCTTTTTAACAAAGCGTCCTAGATAAAAACTTTATAGGAAAGAAACTACTTGAAATTCACCAAAGAATCCATTTTTGGTCACCATTTTTGAATCACTCTGTATAATGTGATTCCATTTCCACGGCATCGGCTGATTATTGGTCTGTTCTATTACTATTTTTGTTTTCAAATTGTCACTTTATAAGAATATATTTGGATCGTAATAGTTAGTTATTTTAAAGAATTATTATTATATTATTGGCTGTGAACAACCGCCACACACCATAACGATTATTATGATCCATGTCAAACACACAACTTTATTTGCTGGCATCAATTAATACCCATACTTTAAATTTGAATATCTACATTTTGCAATAATACATTTTTGTATAATTTTATATAATTTGAAAACAGTAAGCCAATTTATTGTTTTGTTGATGATTGAATTGTTTATATATTCTGAAAAAATATTTCTAAATATGAAAGTAGCATCTCTGTATTTACTTATTGTTAAGTTAGTGAATATTCTTTGTAATTTAATAAAAGAAGTGGTTTACCTTACGATATTGATGAAGGGGCTAAAAATGTGATGGATTCTCTTCTACCAAAAAAATCACCAATTCCACATGAGAATGCATTTACTTATTACGAGGAATGGTGTACAAGTAAAAGTACTGGGAAAGTTACACATGAGAAAAAACATTACTTCCCTGTGGACAAGTTATTCAATGTCTTGTCAATGAAAAAAATATATTTGATATTAATAAATACATATTCATATACTTACCATCTTTGAAACCTAAATCAGTTGGGTAGAGACTTACAAAGCCTAAAATTGTTACTAAACAAGATGTTTTAAAATTTTTGACGGAAGCCAAAGATAAAACATAGTTATAGAGATAGATCGAAACAGTTCTAAAATATTTTGTGGTACTAAAATAACAGTTTGAACAAAAACAAAATGATAGAACAAACTAATAATCAGCAGACGACAAATAGATGTGCAGCAATTGCCAAATTACTGATTTGTTACTAGCTTTAACGGAATCGAGTCAAGGACATAAAATAACCTGTAGCGCCTAAATTATTGGAAACTAATGAAAGGAATGTGTCACTTTTGTAATTTATTTTTATATGTTGCAAGTAAAGTTCGAATAATGGATATCTTTAAGTCACAGTTTGATTTGATCAATATATGCGTTTTATATTGTGATACCATGCATTTATCTAACCTCTAACATTAATTTCTTTGGAATAGGTCTAAATTATTAAAATTTTTTTTGGAAATACCAGAAATATATTAAATGACTTTAAAATTTCTTAATTCCACACAATCCTCTGTAATTACATTTTGATATAAATATTTTATTGTCATTTTAATTATAGCAATTTAATAAAAATATATTTATTATACCAAAAACGTGTACCTGTTAATAAAAATATGTGTGCCAAATACTTGTATCTACCATCTATATGAAATTATATATATATACCCATTTTTCTGATTTTATATATGTAATTGGTGTAATTATTTAATAAATAAATCTGCCATTATGCAGAACAGACAGTTTTTTTAATTGAAAATTCCATTCCAAAAGTTTATGCCACACCATGATGAGTTCTTATTGTAAGTGTAAATATAATTTTTCTTTTTTTATAATAAAACAAAGTATAAATAAATTTTCTCAATTTTGATGTTAAAAACCTTTCAATATAATTTTACAAGAAAATCTGGGGTTTGCTTCAACATCAATCAACCTGAATCTTTATTTCTATGAAGTTTCTTGTAACTTTAGAGCAGTTGCCATCTGAATGCAACATGTTACAAAATTGGTGTTTGTTATTGTTTTTACTTTTTTAAATTAGTCCTAATCATGCTTTATGTCTTAGAACTTATCAAAAAAAAAACAATAATGGCATTTTATCAAAAGGTCAATTTGTATCTCTCTGTTACTAGTATTAACTGGATTAACCATAAAAGTAAAAATAATGCATATGTAGTAATAAAAAAAAAATTGAATGTATTTATGACTGGTATATGTGAATGGCATTTAAAATAACCAATTTCTGAATATGTATATGACTGTTAGTGTCAATGACCATGAACATTTAATGAAATTATAGTTATAATTTATTTTCGAATATAATTTTTTTTTATCAAAAAATTTTACATTATGTAAAAATAAGCATAAGCATACGTAAAGTGACAGAATTTGGAAAAGCTGGAAGAATTCTGAAATTAATTTTTCTATATATACAGTGTGTTTCACTTAAAGTTGGTAGGTACACCTCCGTATTTAGGATGGTATTGGCCGATTTCTGAAATTATTTTTTTATATGGTAGTACTCAAAAAGGTTTACTTTTTGATATTATATTTTTTGATGTGATCTTTTCTACAGCCTACTGTCATTAAGAAAGGTCCCCCAAAAATTAAAAAACATTAGACATTTTTTTAAGAAATGGATAACATTTTCGATTTTATCACACCTCAAAACCCTCATTTTTATAGCTTTTACAGGGTGTTCACAAAATAAACTTCGAAAAATTTCACACAATGTTTTTTTTCATAATTTTATTGTCCGAATGTATATCCATGCAGTTTCATTGTATTTTTTTATTATACCAGAAATGAATTTCACAACAAAATAAAATTTAAATATTACTGTTTTCTATTAGTCCACCATCATGCACTGCCAATTTGTCTCCTCTTGTTTCTAATAACTCTCCTGAACTGATGCGGTGTTATTTGTCAACGTGCTTGTCTAATTCTATCTTCTTCTTCTCTGTTCTGGGGCCTTGTTTTATACAATTTATTTCTAACAGTTGCCCATAAAAAGAAATCAAGAGACGTCAAGTCTGGAGCTCTTGACGGCCACTCAACTAACGGATTGTTGCGACCTATCCACTTTCTCGGGAAATTCTCATTCACCCAACGTTCTATTACTTCATGATGAATAGGTGCTCCATCTAGTTGAAGGTAGAGATTATGTCTTACATGAAGAGGAAGCGCATGTACTGAATCCCAAAAATCATTATTTAAAAAATTCAAAAAAATCTCTGCGTATAGATTAACGTTAAAAAAGAAGGGCCCGATTATTCGATCACATAAAATCCCACAAAACACATTAATTTTTTTAATTAAGATTTATGTAATAGAATTAGACAAGCATGTCGACAAATAACACCACATCAGTTGCGGAGACATATTAGAAATAAGATGAGACGAATTAAACAGTGCATACCAAATGATGATGGGCTAGTCGAAAACAGTAATATTTAAATATTATTTCGTTGAGAAACTCATTTATGGTATAATAAAATAAATATATAATTTGGCTGTCTTATTGTGAGCACCCTGTATGAGTGAAATCAATGAAACTGCATGGATATACCTTTGGTTAATAAAATTATAGACAGTGTCTACTGCTCCTTGAATCCCTTGAAAACCTTAAAAACTCCTTGAATGGATTTAATCTACTTGAAATACTTGAAATCACCTTGAATCGAACTAACGATCCTTGAAAAATTTTTTCGCAATCATTTTATTTAACTACAAATTGACATAATGAGATTTAAAATGGATTGCCATAACATAATATTGTGTATTTGTAAAAAATTAAAAGAGAAATGTGCTTTAGCTTATAAATTCGTAAGAGGAGCAAGTTCTCTTTCTCCTTATGTTATGTTGAAGCCGAAAATTGCTAAAATTCGAATTCAACTGGCTTTAGAAGTTTTAGTCGAGCATAACCACTTTGGTGAACTTATTGCTGAAGAAATTGTAAAGGATTACCTTAAATTTATAGAAAATGACGCTGTAAAAAAAGAATTATTAAAGTTGAAGAAAAAAAACATCAGCTAGATGAATTTTTTATGAAACTGTGTGCTGAGCAAAAAATATCTGCGAATTTTGTCGAATTTGTAAAACGAATATTAGTATTTTTTCATGGAAATGCTGCTGTAGAACGCAGTTTTTCTTTCAACAAAGAATTCCTAGTTGAGAATCTACAAGAACAAAGTCTTATATCTCAAAGATCTGTATATGATTTTATTATCGTTAATAATAACGGTGATGTAAAAAATATTAAAATAACTAAACCAATGATTGCTGCTTTTAAATCCTCTTCTGCAAATCGAAAACAAGCTTTACAAGACAAAAGAGAAAATGAAAGTGAAGAAAAAAAGAAAATGAAAATTGGTTGAAGAAGCAGCAGATTTAAAATAGTGAGAAAAAAAGAATTAGAAATGATAATAAGTGAAAATCAGAAAAATGTTGTACAATATGACCAAAAAATTTAAGAGTTAGATAAACAATTAAAAAAACGATTATTATTTTAGAAATTACTTAAATATTTTAATTTTGTTTAATTTTTATAGTTCTCAAAACCAATTTAATATAATTTTGTAACGATTATTGTAATAAAATTTTTATTTCAGATATTGTATTGTTATTTTTGTTTAATAAATATAATTAAATTCCTTCAGTATAATATAATTTCAATGTATGTTGTAAGTGTAAAAATTATGATGATCAATTTTACTTAAATATTCCATATCATCACGTTTAAATTGTCAATTTTTCAGTCATATATTTTATCTTTGGAATTATAAAGTTTTACAATCTTATTCTATCTTAATGCGATACTTAATAATCGCTCGTATGCGCTCGAGTTTAAATTTTTAAAGAGAATCAGAGAGATGGTCAGATAGATGTTTAATTTTTTTATCTGTCGTCAACGCGGAGTGCACCTTCATCTTCAAGTTAATAACTATATTTTGAGTAAAGAATATGAAAAATTTCGAGTAAATTAACGTCGATCAGCTTTTACAACCCTTGAACACCTTGAAAACTCCTTGAATCCGAAAATAAAAATTTAGTAGACACTGTATAGAAAAATACCTTGAAAATATTTTCCACTATTAATACAGGAAACTGCAATTTTTTCGAAGTTTGCAGCTATTTTGTGAACACCCTGTAAAAGCTATAATAATGAAACTTGGTATTTAGAGTTTTGAGGTGTGATCAAATCGAAATTGCTATACATTTCTTTCTTAAAAAAATGCCTAATATGTTTTTTTCATTTTTGAGGATCTTTTCTTACTGATAGTAGGCTGTAGAAAAGATTACGTCAATGCCATCCTAAATACGGAGGTGTTCCGACTTTAAGTGAAACACACTGTAGATTTAAATCTTTTATTTATAGAGTTTTGTTCTTTTATAAATACACATATACAGGGTGATTCACAAACGGTGACCAAAAATGAAACCTCGTATTGTTTGGTGTGGGGAGTCTTTCATATAATGTTTTTGTCCAGGACGCTTCGTTAAAAAGATACAGGGTGTTACACTTAAAAAAATATTTGTAATTTTTTTAAATAATTTAAAAACTAGTATGTGAAATAATTTGAAATGGGGCATATGTATTTATGTAAACATTGTCCAAAATCTGAGACCTCTTAAAATTTAGTTGCTCCTGTGGCGAAGATACAAGGTGTCGATGGTATATTTGAAATTGACTTCAGTCAGATCCATGTACAGCGGATCATTTCTTTTTTTGTGTAATCAAAGCACAAGTCAAAACATCGATTTTTCAAAGAATAATTTTTTAACTTATTAATTTTCATAAAATTCTAAATATAATTTAAATATATGTAGTAACAGTAAACTGTTTGTCGTTTAAAAATTTGAAATTATCAACATTCTTATCCAGCTGTCTACAAATCTATTGAATACTGACTTGCCTTCTATGGCTGTAAAACAGTTTTGTTTAATAAATTAAAATAGCAGTAAAACAATTTAAATGATTATTATTTAAGACAAATTTAGTTTTTCATGGTATCAGGGAAGCCTCGATAAAACCTTTCTTTTTTTAACTAAATGCCCTTTTATTAAGCTCTCTAGTTTGCGCATGGATAGTTTTTCATACATGATAAGTTTCATAATATATTTACTTCCCAAAGATCGTTATTCTTTGGGCTCTCTTTGAGTTTATTAGCCTCTTAGGATTACAGAAATACAGATTTATCAATAGTCTTATAAACAAGTTATCTGAATTATTATTTTATAATAACATAATTACCAAAATCGCATATTTTAGCTAGTCTTTAGTTCAACTTAACCTTTACGGTCCTAATTGACGTCACGTATGAAATTTGATAGCACCAATTTTTTATGGCTCAAAGTCTAAAAATATATAGGTATTGCATAAGTCATCGAAAATCAATTTAAATATATACAATTATTGATAAAGCGCATTTTCATGTTTGCTTATCAAATTTTGACGTGTTAAATAAGAATAACTTTTAACTTTTTGATATTGTACAGTGAGATAAGTACCTACCTCTATGTATATCAGTAGGTATATAGTGAAGTATTTAAATTCATATTTCAATATACGTAGTACAGACAATTCCATATTATGTTTTCTTTAATAGAATTTTTAAAGACTTGCATAAAATCTTTAAATTTCATGATAAATCTTGGAAAAAACTACCCACAAAGTTAGATTCAGTAGTTTTGACTTCTATATATTTCTACCGATATTGTTCAGAATGAAATAGATTTCATTTAACCATTCTCACAAACGACGGTATGGAATAAAAATCCCGTAATTAAATTTGGTAGGCAACCTTTGAGACTTGTTTATTATGAGAGGAGAGTAAAAAATAGCCAATAATATCGGGTATGAAAGGAAATAAATAAACTTTTGTCAATGATGCACTTTTATTTCGTTGTTATAACAACAATAAATTCAATATATTGTACATACACAAGGTTAATAATACTTAAATTTTAGATAGCAATATGAAATACTGATACGCACATAAACATTTTAAAGCTCAACAAAAGAGGTAGGTAGTCAAATGTTTTACACTCGTAATAAGTTGTAGGTAATAAAATTCAGAAATACTGATAATTTCATAAATTAAGCTTATCTACTTCTTAGCTTTTTAAATCTAAGTACACTGGGGAAAATCAATCAATAAGAAAGTTTTGCTATTATAATCTGCATAGCAATTTTTCTTATTAGTTTTATAATATCATATGCAAAGCTTAATCAAAATTATTTTGCTAACACGATTTTACTACCTTCAGTCGATGCGTTACGAAGACAAGAAGGCACTTTCTTAAGGTGAATAAATACCTTTTATCTATCCAGTAACGGTAAGTAGATAACTTAGTGCACTAGATAATTATTGATTTTAGTTAAAAATAATTATGACGAAGTAAAAATTGTATAAGACTATCTAAATAAATTTTACCGCGTAGTAATCATAGTTGACACGTATCAGACACGAGAGGCACATGGTATGAAGCCATTTTTTGTCTAACATTGCAACAGGAATGGCGTCTTGTCCGCTTTTCATACAAATAACGTATAATATTAGGTATATTAGTAATATAATAATAACCAACAAAGCTTTAACATTATGTTAGGCATACAAATGTTATGTTAATAGTATATTATTCAACGAACGTATAATGATGGGTATTATTCACGAGGTGAAGTTTACGGCCACGAGCCGCAGGCGAGTGGCCTAAATCACCGAGTGAATAATACCCATTAAACGGGAGTAGAATACTATACTTTATCCACGACTACTAAATATTTTTGTTGAAGTTTTTTTTTAAATGTTTCGAAAAACATGGTATGTTAAGAAACAGATATACGACTCTCACAAATGAAGTCGCTGATGGCTCAGTGTAGATGCTCTTTCCCTTCCAACCGCGGGTCCCGGGTTCGAATCCGGTCTAGGAAAACTCACTTTTTTAATTTTTTTTTTTATATGTACAGCACTGAATTGAAAATATTTAGTGGTTTACACGATAAAATTTTAAAAACGGATTGTTTGTAGCAGAACAATATAATATTATAGCTAAATTAAGGAAGCATCTGACAGTAGTGATTAATGACTCATTAATCACTGCCGTGATTAATGGGTATTATTAAGGTCAAGCAAACAGACGTATAATGGGTACATTATACAATAGTCGTGGATAAAGATATATAAACACGAAGGACCTATGTGTCGTGACAGTGCCCATAGTATGTTTACAAGTTGACAACTTTGATTTATTTGATTGTTGTTTTATATTTGAAAAGTTAAAACTGAAGAGCGGGAAATAGTGAGACTGACCAATTATACATTTCTTGTATTTTTACTTGTAACTTTTTAAATATGAAGGGAAAATTTGAAGACAAAGTTAATAATTGAATCTAGGTAAATGCACATAGTTGGCAAAAAAATCACTTATTAGTGTCTACAAAGTAACTTATTTGTAGTAAAAAAAAAGATATTTGCTGATATTGTCATAAAACTCGTCATCCTAGAATGACAACCTAACAACTGCAATAAAAACTTTTGCTATGATAAAAATTGACTATAACTACCGTAATAATAATGGTCTTGGAACAACAAATAAAAAGTTAGCAGTACATTATTTAACCCCTAATAGGCTCCGACAATAACTTTTCTGGAGCCTATTTGAAGCAGATATTCTGTTAGGGTGAATCAATTTCTACTTATGGTTAAACAATATTTTCCTCAGTGTAACCTGCACATGCTGAAATAAAATATTTTTGTAAAATAAAAAAATTAGAAATCACTCGGGTAAATCGCTAAGTCGGTAGCCTCCAGGCTTTCTGAAGATACGTTCGTGCATGGGTAATTCCCCGATGCAAAATTTGTCCAACGCCCTTATGGCCTGCGCGCTGTGGCCTGAACCTCGAAAGGCCACACTGGCTTCTCTGCCCGCATATTCTAGAAGGATGTCACTTCCGCCAGGATGCTGAAACAGAAAGAAGTTTATCATAAACAAATGTATGTGACCCTCTGACGAAAATAACTTTTTATCTTTTAAATATCCATGTTTTAAAAAATATCGCTTGCATAATTAGAACGCAAACAAAAAATGTTTACAATTTTTGTTAGTCTGTTATAGAAATAAAAATGTGTGAATTTAAAAATTGACCCATGTCAATTTTCTGAGGTACAGAAAATAATGGAACATTGAAAACTGTGAATGATTCTATATCTTCTGATAGCTTGTCAGATTTTTTAACTATTTTAAGAAAGCCGAATTTTTCTATTTTGTACTTAATTTTTTTTGACCTTTCTATCAGAATCTAACCAAAATAAAAAGATTTTTTTTAAAGGAAATACTCATAACTAAGACTGTCAGAGAGACCCGCTATTCAATGGCGTGCCAAGCGGATCAATCGAGCCATGTGTTAGCCCCTGTCTGCGTATATGCTTTTCACGTTCACGTCAGGTTAATATACTGTTGCTTTGTTATCGTGCAGATGTTGTGTAGTTAATTCTTATCCGTTCGTATTTATGGTGGTGTATTGTAGACAATTTAATTTTTTCCTTTTTAATAAATAATGCATACGCCTAAGTCCCGTGGCTCAGTTCTGACAGCTTTTCTCTTAACGTACTACTTCCCATTATCATTTTTACTATTCTAACCTGGAACAAATAGTGAAGACCAAAGTTATAGCAAATTTGTATATTTATATGTATATTTAAAAAGCAATTGACTGTTACGTTTCGAAACTTTTGTATTTTTTATTGGAACATCCTGTATATTTGTCGCTTATTGGAATCTTCTCCTTTTTCCTGATTACAGTGATATATGTATACATGCCATGCCCATGCTTTGAGCGTTTGAACAATATTTTGATTTATTTATCATGAACAAAATTATGCGTTTTACAATAGTTTCATCATGTTATCGACAAGGGACATTTTCTTCTATAAATTTTTCCTATGATGGAATAATTTTATCTGCAAGACCAATTTCAGATACATTTTAAACATATTTTCTTTATTTTCAAATTAGGGGAGTGCTAGAGCTTTTTGTAGTACATCCTCTTTATCCTGGCTAGTAGTAATACCTTATTGTTTGAACAAATATTTTTAAGTGCAATAAAAATATTTACCTCTTCTAGAAAGTCAGTGATGTCGTAAACCCTGTCGTATATTATTATCCAACAATCCCTGGCGTGATCATGCCAGGATACTTCTTCTAAAGTTATGGTCTTGTCAAAAGCAGGAATGGTTTCTGCAACACTTCTGCCGATGTTAACTGTTGCCGCCATTGAATTAGAAGAAAAACGATGATATTAATTCTATTTTTGAAAGTGTCACAAGAATAGTTAAATATTTGTAAAAAACACGTGCCCTCTGTCAACACTATCACTGATTTATGTCTTCAGTTGTACGCGGTATTGATAAATGGTTTGAGTTGAACGTCCTTCTGCTTAAATAGTAAGGCTTCCATGCATGATGAAAGAATTAAGTTCTTTAAATCGACTAGCGCGCTTTCGAAACGGCTTCTCATTATCACTCCCCACTCCTACTTCCCACAAAATTAAAAAAATATACAGGGTGTCCCAAAAGTGACGCCCATCCTTATGGGTTTTGATTAAGGGGACAAAAACAAATCGAAAATCAAGAGTGGAAAATTTTCCGAGTTATTCAAAAAATTAATCAAAAAACTAAAAATAAACATTTGGGCTGGGTTATTAAATATTTATGTAGTTCAAAGCTGTATTTGCTGCAGCTGTATGTTTTTAAATGAACACTTACCATTGCCATTGTTGCATGACGTTCCGTTAGCAGTTAGACTAAATTATTAGTTTCAACATGATGGAGCCCCATCACATTATGGTTTACGAATATAAAATTATTTGAATCAAAACTTCCGAGACAGACGGATTGGAAGAGGTGGACCATGGCCTCCTGGATCACCAGATCTGAATCCCCTAGATTTTTCTTTTGGGGTTATTTAAAAGAAAATATTCATAGTCCGTATATACGCTGCTGTCGCGTTAATAGACCAAGAGATGCTACAAAGAGTTCATGCTTCAATGCTGAATCGTGATAATCTTTGTCTTGAAGTAGAAGGCAACTTATTTGAACACATTTTGTAAAAACAATTTCTATTATTTAAGCACATTATGGTTTTAGTTTATGTTTTATTATAAAAATGTTTTTCTCTATCCTTTTCAGGTTAAAATAATTCCTTATATCCAGATACAACCGACAATCGAAAACTATACTTATCTACAATTGGTTATAAATTATATGTCTTGGTTCCCATAACTTCAGTTTTGAGACAAAAAAATGGATTTTCACTTTTTTAGTTTTTTGAATACTTTTTTGAATAACTCAACAACGGAAAACAATCGGAAAATTTTCCACTTGATTTTCAATTCGTTTTTGTCTCCTTAATCAAATCCTAGAAGGACGGGCGTCACTTTTGGGACACCCTGTATATTTTTCGATTTGCGTGTGCAGTAGCGTATTGTTGTTGAATAATAATTTATAACAAAACAATTAAACAATTTCTTGCGCATTATCACTGTTATTTTGTAAAATTATTATTGTTACTGTGCACGATGACTCGGCTGATGTTATTACCAAATTTTTTAAATAACAAAATTGATACCTTATAGTTGTTTATTATAAATATATATGTATGTAGTTCTTGTTATTATTATGTACCTAGTAACACATATCTTAACGATTTAAATAATAAAGTCTGTATTATACACTTTCACGTACGTGTAAGCCAAGATTGATTTAAAAAAATATTTTTTACATTTTTTGGTATATAAGATGGATATGATTTTGACTTCAATTTAAATACACTTTAGATATTAATCTTTTACTACATGATTTTAAGATAATATAGCTACATATTTTTTCACTCACATTTGCTACAGAATAAGATATTCTAATTTTTTTTTCATTTATTATTTTGGTATTACAGAAAACGTTTTACCATTCAAAATAAAAATGGTAAATTGAAATAACTTGTTAATCTATTGTCTGCTACTATTCATTTGTCTTTTTTTTTGTATAATTTAGTGTTTCTGCCACCCTCCAGAAGAAGAAAACGAGGTTAATTTTATAAACTTTAATAAACCACCTAATAAAAATTGCTAATTGGCTGATGACAAGTTACATGAAACTAGTAATAATAAGATATTTTAAACATTTTATTAGAATCTGTACTTTCAATAAAAGAAAAAAATTTAGAAATAAAATTTTGAAAACATTATTGTCATTGAAATAATTAAATAAAAGTACGCAATTAATGAAAAATTAGTAGATCACGTAAATTACGAAATTGAATGTAAACGATAATAAAAATATTTCTTTCACGTGATGAACATCTGTAAACGTTCATTGATATAATATCCTCATACATAAAAAAAGTAAGAAGTCATCTTCTTAAATTACTTTTTTTTGTAACTTAATCACATTTTACAACTGAAGATAATAAATGGCATATGCTATGTAAAAAAAATAGATTTTATTTGTGAATACCTACTATATTTTTTTTTGCTATGGCATTTGCCAACTAATAAATAGTAAAAATAATAAAAAGTCAAGAATTAATAAGTATTTATTTCATCCTCACTATAATAGTAAAACATATTTAAACCTTTTGTTGTCAAAATATGTACTTGGCTACATTATTAAATATAAAAATTCAGCATTTAAATAATTTTTTGTCAATATATGCGTAAGTTACAAAAAATTAGTCACTGTGTAAAAAACGTATCTAATTTGCAAATACTTATACCAATAATATCCTTGAAACGTGTTTCTTATTACAGATTTTATAAGCTCCGTCACCCGAGCAAACAGATAATATAGGTAGGCATATTTTTTAATGTTCCTCTTCAAATAAACATAGGAACATTTGTTTGATAATTATGGTATAAAATATACAGGGTCGGAAAGTCCCCATGGTTCATCGGCCGTTACGTGAGACCGATAAAGAAAGTCATAGAAATCCGTGCGATAGAGAAAGATGGCTATAATGAAGGCGTCTAATAGTCACCGCCCATTTCGCCCTTCCACAAATAAGATCCACTTCTTATTTGTGGTATCTATATTAATAGATTCTTTGTAAATTATATCTTTCATTCGCGACCAAATAGAAAAATCAAGAGGATAAAGAAAATTCTTCAAGCCATGGAAGCATTTTTATTTGGCCACTCAGAAGTCCGGAGTTCAATCCTCTTCATTTTTCTATTTGGAAGAATCTATTGGTTCGTTTGAAGAGTTATGGCAAATAATACAAATCGCTGCCAACGAAGTCAAACGCAATCCCAATATGTTGTTTCAAACTTGAAGATCTCTCAGAAAACGTTGTGTAAAGTGTTTAATTTTTCTCGAAAACGGATCAAGATACTGAAATGAAACAAGAGTACATAATTAATGGAAAAATGATTGCTCTTTCAGGTTATGAATAAAGTTTCATGTTAGACATATAGGGTAAAAAGTTATTAACTATATTTTCGGTAAAATTGATCTTGGCGCCCTCTATGAGCAATGCTGAAATTACAACACGCATCTTACTCGTCGCCTAAAAAAATATAGTTTCACAAATTTTCAAGTTCCTAACCTACATATTTTCAGAATAATCGCAAAAAAACGATTTAAAATTTTAACTTTCAACACCCTGTATTTCCGAAACTATCAACTTTCGGATAAGGCATGTTTGCGCCAATGGTCACCATTACATACCGTGTAGTATCTTCAGCTTTCAATTTTCCCATTGTTAATTAATCACCCTGTATAATAATTTTAATTGATTTTTATGATTTGTACTTACTCTTGCTACCCCGCAAATTTTCTGCAGAGGCCCATGCCAATATGTAATTTTGCAACTTTTATTGTACTTAGTACCTACTTGTCTGTTGATATTTATCTGAATATTGTATATTATATGTTTATCTGCATATTGTATATTGTATGTAGGTATGTATACTTTTAACATTAGTTTATAGTTTGTCATTTGGTACAACTTTTATCATTGAGTAAGGTTAAATGATTGGTGCAAAAAATATTGTCAAATTATTTCATACACATTTTTTATTTCAGAAAGATAGGTCGGTACATCCGTACTTAAAAATAAGTAACAAATCTTGTAATCGCATGCATGGTCGACATGTTAAAAAACTGTTATTTGCATATTCCTCAATCTTCTCAATTCTTCCACAACATCTTTAGATATTCTCTGAACATAATAAACAACAATCAGTAATTCATACAATCATAAATGCTTTAAAAATACTCTAAATGCTAATCAGGTAAATCGCTAAGCCTAAATCCACACGGCTTTCTGAAAATACGTTCTGCCAAGGGTAACTCCCCGATGCAGAATCTTTCCAAGGTCCTTATGGCATGAGAACTGTGCCCGGAACCCCGGAAGGCCACTGTTGCATCCCTTCCTGCGTAATCCAGCAGGATATCTGCGCCTCCTGGATGCTGTAATAATAAAAGCAATAAGGATTTTGGAAAAGTTGCACCATTCGAGTAAAACTGCTTCTTAAGTCGAATCTTATCAGTCCAACGTGAAGCACATTTTTATAGTGAACTAAATAACGCCTAGCTGATATTAACGACATAAAAATTAATGATTTTCATCCAACGCTACATAAAAGCTATTTGGCAATAAATTTAAAATCAATATTAAGATATTAAAAATCATCCTTTATCCTACTAACTAAATGTGAATGAACTAAAATTAAAAAAATAATAGTTGTATCAATTATTTAAATAGAAAATTTACCTCTTGCAGGAAATCGGTCACGTCATAAATTCTGTCGTATATTATAATCCAGCAATCACCAAGGGTGTCGTGCCAAGAAACTTCTTCTAAACTGAAAGTCTTATAGTCTTCAAAGATGGATGTAGAAGTGGTGCTTGCATAGGGTTCAACCTTGGTTGTCGCTGCTGTTGTATTTGTAAACAAATCAGATGTGAAAATCGTAGACATTTTATCCATTTCACGTACAAATATATTCTATATTATCTAAATAAAACGTTAAACACTGTTTCCAATCTCGCGATGTAAAAGTGAATGATTTAATTTTAGTTTCTTCTTGATTAAATAGTTAGTATTTGAATGATGAAACAATTATAAATTTACGTTTATCAATGTAACCGCTTCTTATCTTGACAAAATTTCAACACATTTTAGCGCGAAACAAATCATTTTTTAGATACGTTAATTTAAAATTTATTAGTCAAAATAAACATACAAGGTGACCAATGCTAATAAAATAATAATTTAATAATAATGAGATACCTTGATGGATGCATACAGATTGTTCTTGTCCATTTTTCTCATGGATCCAGGGTATCTGAAAAATTACTAGAAAAGCCAAAACATATTCTTGAACTCGGTAGATATTTCTATTGTCAAATAAAAAAAATGTGATGTTATAATTTTGGGAAGACGATGTTTTGACATTTCGCCCACCTCTTTATCTTTATCACTAAACAAATTAATAAGCATTACTATTTAAAACTTCTCTCTTCGATGTAGAATTTGTTCCTGAACCTAGATCTACACTTAGACCTCATTAAAAATCTCACGGTTACAAATCTATGAAGAACATTCTTTGTTTGAACCCACTGCCCTACTATTAAGTTTCTTTGTCAGTCCTAATGCGGACTCCCTCCTTGATCTACACAGCTCGGGTTCTAGCTGGTCAAGCTGTACACTCTGTACATTTTATTTTACTTACGCTGTTAATCGGACAAATAATTTGCCAATCTTCTCAGATTAATTTTATTTGGCAATACCAGTCTGAAAATGTTTGGAAACATGTTTCCATCAAGTGGAAATTCATGCGTCATATAAAACTATATCTTTCTCCTGACGTGAAAACAAATTAAATAATTAAAAGAGAATAATAATGAAATGAAAACAAACTATTAGTTATGTTTAAATAACGTTGTGTCCATAGTTTGTTTTATTTACCATAATATATTCATGATTCGTGATGATTATACAGGGTGTTTCAGGATTAAGTCGACAAACTTCAAGGAGATATTCCTCATAAAAAAATAAGAAAAACATCAAGTATATTTTTTTCCAGAGACGCTCCATTTTCGAAATACCTGGCATTAAAGGTTTTTTAAAAAATTCGAATTTTTTTAAATAACTTCTAAATAAAGAAGGCTATTTAAACCAAATTTGGCATGACACATCTTCTTATAAGATACCATTTTTCCATAGAAGTAGCAAGCAACCAGTGGCAGAGTTATGGGGACTCAGACTCATTAAATTATAAAAAAAAAATTAATACGGCCCTACTGAAAATAAAAAATGATGCTGTTTTTAGATAGAACAGTTTGTTATTGACAAAAAGTGTACATTCACTTTTTTTCCTAACTCTTATAGTTTCATGGCAAAATTGATTTTTCGGGAGGGTGCTTCTGGATTCTGTTGATAAACTTTAGGAAGACGTTCCTCATAAAACCTAAAAAAATATAGTACCTATTAAAATTGGTCTTAGTCTCGAGTATGTGCGAGTCAAATAAGCCTTTTTGTCTCCCCTTCCCTTGGATTTAACCAATAGTATTAAAATTATTTAGGAGATGCTTCGTTTTTGAGATAGATATAGGGTGTTTTTTTAGAAAAAAAAAAATGATGAAAATAATAGAAATATTTAAGTACCTAACATCTAATGTGACTATGTCGTAACGCGACAACGTAACGACCCTTTTAATACTCCTAAATTTTTTCAGGCGGTTTGTAGTCACTGAGAATACATGAAAATTTATTTGTAAATCGAAAGAACCAAAAAATTACCAATTAATATTATACCTAGACAAAGCGAAAAGTGAATAAAAAATGAAATGATTTAAAAAATATTTTGTAGACAAGCACGACATCTAATTATGGAGGTAGTGGCCGATCGACACTGAATTGGAGGTAATTCTCGACACGCTTGGACTATTCGCTGTCTTAGATCTTCTATAGTACGATCGCATTCGATGCAAAGTAATAAATCATTGCCTGTCAAGGGAATCAGTGCAACACATTTTATAGGGGGTTTTGGAAATTGAATAATTTCTTTATGCATTATGGATTAACAGTTATATATTTATGAAGGACAAAATGAAAAACAAAGGCATCTCCTTCGCACATTGGGCGGCAGGACAACAATACATTTTTATTACTCCCTTCATTATCCCTCATATGACTTGTGTCTTGTGTTTTTTGCGGCGGCGCGCGTGCCGGCCTGGCGTGGTCAGTTTCGTTTCGGTTGTATTGGTGCTGCGTGTTTCTCGCTCGCGATATTTGTGAGGTTATAACTGTTATAAGTGCAATTATATTTCTTTCGGGCTATATGTGTGTTTCGCGCTATTATTTGAGAATTTGTGAGTGAAATCATATTTCTTGTGCTCCGTAACAAAAGTGTTTTTAGTGTTTTATTTGTGTACTGTGTGTGTTTCGGGCTGTTGTTTGTGTATCGTGAATGCTATTATATTTTCTGTGCTAGTGAAGTGAAGTTTTTTGTATTATTATTGCTCTGTTGTCGTTATATGGATAAATGGAGGCGGTGCATGGATGTTCGCGAGCCGGATGTACTGCCGTGGGTACAAAAAAATCTATATTAAGTTACAGAGAAAAAACGATAATATTAAACGTCTATAACCCTTTAGAAAAGGATCATCCCATGGAACTGAAGACTGGTTTGGTGGAAATGTGTTCTAGATATACTGGAGTAAGCGAATTATCTGTTTTCAAAATTTTAAGAGAGAAGAAAATTGAAGGAGACGTTAAGAAACCTAAAAAAGGGGGTGCAAAGAAGAAATTAATATTAAATGAAGATGAGAAAAATGCAGTTTGGCGTACAGTACATAAATCATAGAATTTATATTTTGTTTATAATTTGTTAACTTTTCTTGTTTGATAGAAAAATAACTTATTTTGTTGAGATTGGTAGAGAATTGTTGTTAGTGTTTTCATTTGATAGAATCATATCATAGGATTTATATTTTGTTTTCATTCTGTAAATATTTATAGTATATCTGTTATACAAGGTTTTTGCTTTGAAACTTCGTTCTCCTTATAAAAAAAAGAATCGTAATGGGGTGCGATGAAGAGATCAGTTCACGTCTGGAACCCTGTTCCTACAAAAATCCCTTTATTCTCATAAACTATTTGTTTTAAATGTAATTTATTATAAATCCAATTCGTTATTTAAATTCCACATATGTACTACATTTCACCTCTGTACGCGCCACTGTTTATTGTTCCCTGCTCTACGATCAAGCTCGCCAGGTTAGTATTTGACGTATAACCGACCACTTCGTACACTCGATGCACCTGGCCGACTACAGCTAGTACCAGAACACAGTGCGTATGCGGCGGTATTTCAGATTTTACATTAAATTTCATTTTAAATTTGAAACTGTTCATCTTACGCCTCCTAAAAATGATGACACGATTTTCCTTTGATAAAAGACCGACAATTTTTTGCTCTACTTTGCATCGTATACGATCGTACTATAGGGTATCAACTGGCACCTCGTAGACTTTTTGATTAACAGCACCCTAAACGAAATAATCCATCGGTGTCAAGTCCGGTGAACGTGCGGACCACGCTGCAGGTCCTCCACGACCAATCCATCTCCTGGGATAATTAGTGTTTAAACCACTCCCTAGGACCTCTACCAAAATGGGCAGGACAACCATCTAGTTGAAACCAACTGTTCATTCGAGTATTAAGCGGAACATTTTCTAACAGATCTTGAAAACCATTTTCAAGGAACTCGGTAAACATGTCAGCATTTAACAGATGCGGAAGGAAGTAGGGACCAACATAGGAATTCATGCTAAAAACTATTACCGCCCGTGGATTCTCGTAGGACCAAATATGGTTGTTCCTTTGGTTTAAAATTCCCATTCGAGTAAATGTTGCCTCATCTGTCCACATTACTTTTTGCATAAACTGATCATCATTCTCTGCTTGATTTAACATCCAGTCGCAAAACACGCGCCTGCATCGTATGTCCTAAGGAAATAAATGTTGCACACGCTGGATATGGTACGCATGGTGTCCATCACCTCGAAGAGTCCGCCAAATGGAACTTGACGAAATACCTAGCTCATCTTCTGACACTCGTGGATGGATTTTCATCGAAATGGTTTAAAATAGTAGGTATTCGATCTTACTTCGTCCTGAAGTAGGGCAAAATGTCCATCAGCATAAGTTGGAATACCGAAAGACCCAGTTTGTCTGAGACGAGTGAATGTCGTTGAAAATGTTTTCTTTGCTGGTAGTCTGCGATGAGGAAATCTTACTGCATATTCACGGCGAGCCGCCGTGGCATTTCCATCACAAAAACCATATACCTACAAAGACCATAACAGCATATTCATTGTTCGAAAATATGGACGGCATTATTAAACTTATTTTTATTATTAGTTTGAACACTTTATCTAATGAATAATTTGTGCAGTAATTCGCAAAATATAATTTAAAATGTCAAATTAACATTGCTTAACAGCAGCCTACTCGAAAATTTTTGTTGGGGTTCATTTTAAAGTTTATCGACAGAATCCAGAAGCACCCTTCCGAAAAATCAATTTTGCCATGAAACTATAACAGTTAGGAAAAAAGTGAATGTACACTTTTTGTCAATAACAAACACTGTTCTATCTAAAAACAGCATCATTTTTTATTTTCAGTAGGGCCGTATTAATTTTTTTATAATTTAATGAATCTGGGTCTCCATAACTCCGCCACTGGTTGCTTGCGGGACTTCTACTTCTATGGGAAAATTTTATCTTATAAGAAAATCTGTCGTGCCAAATTTGGCTTAAATAGCCTTCTTCATTTAGAAGTTATTTAAAAAATTCGAATTTTTTTAAAATCTTTAACGCCCTATATTTCGAAAATGAAGCGTCTCAGGAAAAAAATTTATACTAGATTTTTTTCTTATTTTTTATGAGGAATATATCCTAAATGTTTGTCGACTTAATCCTGAAACACCCCCGTATAGTAAAATCACATTTGTCAGCATTTTTTTATTGGCAACGTAACAGAACTAACAGAAGCTATGTGTTCTGTATTTAAGGGTTTC